AGGGGTACGTTTTTGCTCAGGCCTTGTAGCTCAGTGTCAGGGATGTGGGACCTTTCTTGGTTGCCAACCAGGAAAATTCCTGGTTTTCTACATGTAGAAAATGAGCAGCAGAATTTACAGTCTACTGTGTGGTCTTAGGGGGACAGAGAAAGGTTTAGTAACATTTCTCAGAACCTAAATTTGACTGCAGAATCCTTGAGTGGTACAAATGTTTAATTAACATGCTGTGCTGATAACCAGAAGATTGGAAGTTCAGGTCCACCCAGAAATGTTTGGGGAGAAAGGCCTGATTGATCTACATCTGAGAAATCAGTCATTGGAAACTCTATGGGGCACAGTTCTATTCTGACACACATAGTGTCACCATGAGTTGAAGGGAACCCAACAGCAACTTGTTCAAAATTTGAATGTCAAAGGGAATGAGTGTGTTTGTACAAGCCAGCCAAGAGCTGGCAACAATGAATTTTTTGTTGGCAAATCAAGGCACCAAAGTGGCAGGCACTCCTTGAAAACTGTCTTCCCCCTCACTTCGTACCTACCTGCAGAGTATGCCGGAATGTGGGCAGGAGCTCCGTCAGGGTGGGCCTCATGGACCAGTCTGGGTCACTGAAATAGCAACTTCTCAGACTGATGCTCCTCACTGGTATCTCCTGCAAGAGAATCCGAGACAGGCGCTCATACTTCATGATCCGCTCGAAGAAGAAGTTGACTTTCAAGTTGGTAGCATGCCTGGACAACTTGGCCCAGGACATACCCCAAATGACCTGCCCATGAGGGTCATGAATATGGCATTTGATGTTTATGGTCCAGAGGGTGCTGGCATTGTTCTCACACAAATTCTCAAGCAGCTCATCAGAGATACAATTGTAGTTGAGGGTCAGGGATTCCAGGTTGTGGAACATGGCCATGGTCTTGTTGAAGTGGGGGCTGCTGTAGACAGCGAGGTGATGACTGAAGAAGTCCTCGATGTTGAGTTCTGAGGCCAAGCTCTCATTCCTTAAGTAGCACAGGGAGTTGAGAACGTGGCAGCCTTGCTCCACGGTCATCCTTGCCGCTTTCAGGTTGAGATACTCTAGGTGTTTGCCCATCTTCTTTAAGAAGAAGCTCAAGCTCTTAATGAATGAACTTCTGATACTGTTTCTCCAGACCATGCGGTCCAGTTCCAGATGCTGTATGGAAAGAGATTTCAGGCGATTGTTACTCTTGCCCAGACATGAGAGAAGGCCTCGCATGGTGACCTGGAACTTCTTGGTCAAGACAACATTGTACGGATTCAGGAATTTGATATCCAGGTGCTCTAGATAACGGCCAAATTTCTTAACATACCAAAGAGCTGACTCAAATTCAGATGAATGCACCCTGGAGGACCTCCCACTGAATGTGATGGTCCTATAGCGCCAGAGGTCTGCTGAATACATCATCTGGTTCCATTTTCGGCAGACCAGGGATGCTCGGGACCGGTCCTTATCCCCCAGCCACCAGAAGACACGATGCAGGCACACATCTGGCAGAGAGGCCCAGCAGCTCTGGTCTTGAAGCTCGATCAGTTCGCTTTCATCACCCATCAAGGAACCAGAAGTGTAGTGCAGCTGTGTATGAGGCAGGGCTTCCAAAAATGAGGAAAGGAAAACAAGCACCTGTTTTCTGTGGGAAGTGAAAAGGAAAAGTCATTCGGAGTCAAACAGAAGTGATACAGAGACCCGTGAAGATTGGAAGATGAAGTGTCTGAAAGCAATGGAGTCTGGAGGACAGTGGGCAGGAGTGGAGGATGAATGGCCAAGAGCAGCGCTGGGACTTGGGTGGCATTACCATAGGAATGGAGAGGAGGGGGTGAGCTTGTAAGTTATTTAGAGGACACAGTTTGGTAACTGGCTAAATGTAGAATTCGGAAGGACTAGAGGAGGGTTGAGACTCAGGCTAGAACACTTGGGGAATACCACCAGTCCAGCTCAGAATTCCAAGGGGAGAAGTGAGGTAAGGCCTGCCTGGTACACTGAGTCACCCTGCTGTTCCTAGGCAGCTGTTGAACTTCTCATGAGCTTTTGCCTTCAATGTTTTCCCTGCTTCAAAACTCCCCTCCTTTTCTTTGACTCTCCCAAACTCCCCATTCTTCAACATTCCCTAAAGCTTTTATTAGCCATTTTACCAAGTGGCCAAGATCATGGCTCATAAAAACTCAAGACTGTAAGAGACCTGAGAATTGATTCCTTTACAAATGAAAATGAAGGCCCAGAGAAAGGAGAGACTTGCCCATGACCACACAGCAAGGTAATACCCGGACCCAGGTTAGAACCTGATCCTCACTGGTACTTTTGGTTTCAGGTGCAGACGTCCAAGTTAATTATACTTCTCAATACAAGGTGGGACCTCTCTTTGGTTTTATTTGTTTATTTCCTTTTATCCCTGTGCCTCACTCACTCCATTGCTCCTCAACACAGGCAACTACTCCAGTGTGCATTTTTTGTTTGTGTTTGCCAAGCGTGTTTGTAAGATGCTCAGTGCACATGTCACAGCCATTAATTACTACATGGGCTGAATAGTTCCCATGTGAATATATCATATCCCCCACCTTTCTCTTCTCCACTCTCCTCGGATGGACACCCTGCCCTCCTCCAGCAACCATTCCCACCAGGTGACAATGAGCATCCTTAAGCATACTGTTATGTAGGACTTTCTCTGAGATCATCTCCAGGGCCTTGGTCCTCATTACCCAGCATTCTCCTTCATTGCCCTGAACAAGTTGGCCCTTGCATTCTGTTGCCTCTGCCATTTCCAGACCCAGACTCCCATGTAGAATTTCACAGCAGGGTCCCCCACCCACAACAAACATAGAGCTCTAGTAGGTTCCCCATGAGATTCAGCCTGCCCATTGTCTTTTCACGGCAGCCAGTGCCCACCCCCTTCATCTAATGTGTTCATGCCTACCTCTGCTGTGGACCCACGGGCTCCTGTAGGCTAGGGACAGCTCATTCTTCTTTTGAGTAGGTACGTCAACCTTTTTAATAAACGAATAGAGTTGTTTCTTCAACTGCATGTGAACTATGGGAGGCTAAGGGTCCCCTAAAAGAACTATGGGAGCAGGGCCCCTAAAAGAGCCTCAAGGAAAGCTAAACCACTGTAAAAGGTAAAGAAAACCCCCTCTCCTAGCAAAGTCACACGTGATGAATGATCACGCTCGCCCTGGGGAGGACTGAGAAAGTTATTGCAAGTAGCCCTAAAGTCCTATGTCATTCGCAGGACCCCCAGACCTCCTCACTAGTCAGGGGAGTTGAGTCCTGGCTGTCAGTTACTAGTTATGTGCCTCACTCGCCCTTTCTGTAAACAAGAGCTAATCCTAGTACCTTTTCCAGTGTTGGGGGCATTAAGGAAGCAGCAGAATAGTGCCCGGCAGACAGTAACTGCTATTTGTCTGCCAAGGAACATTCCTATAAGGAAAGTATGAACACGCCTATTTTGTAAGTGGGAAATAGCGGTGTTGGGAGGTTGTGTTTCAGTGAGAGTTCATAATAAACGTGGAGAGGGATTCCAACCCACCTTTAGGGAGACTAAGGACTCCCTAACCTAGGCTCTCTCCACCACATCACACAATAGTCTACAAAGAAGGAAACCTACGGGGCGTCCCATCACCCAGGGGGAGGGGAGGTGGTCTGGAACTTGGCGCAGTCCAAGATGCTTCCAAGAGACCAGTGAATAGGGCAGAGCCCCCTTCCTGCGCAGGCCCGGTTGCCCTGGTGGTGTCCCGCCCTGGCCCTGGTTGCCCGCTCTCGCCTGTTACCCACTCGCTGCGCCCTGTTCGTCCTGCGCCCAGTTTGGGACTGCAGGGACGGGGAGCGCCTGCCTGCTCCTCCAGCGCCTCTGTTGCTCCGACGCCAACTCCGCGAGAGCGCCTGGGGTCTGCGCCCTGCCCTGCGGAGGCTAAATGCCCCGCACCAGGCCGCCCTTGTGACGCGCCGCCACCTGCGGGGCTTTGCTCACCTCACAGGGACCCAAACCTGAAGTTCCCTGACAAGCTGGTCGTGGGTGCGGATGACCTGACCGGCCATACTGAGCCTGTCTAGGAAGGATCCTTGGCCTGGGGCTGCGAAGAGGGCGTTGGGCCTTCTGGTGGGGTGAGATTGGGTACGTCCTCTGCCCTTTCCAATTCGTGCAAATGAGGTCCTGTCCTGAATTGGGGCTCAGGCTTTAACGCTCTGCCCCCTTCGGGATCCCAGTCAGTGTACTTCTCCTTGGAAGTCTCCCATGCGCTCTCTGCTGGAGGTTCCACTTAACTTCTCAGTAGACTGTCCTCAAAGGCAAGCATTAACCTGACTTAGAGGAAGAACTTGACAAATGTTTAAGAGCCACCTCGCCTTTCCAGTCTTGGGAAGGTGGGCCACCTAACCCAGCCACCTTTGTTGGCCCTTCTGTTCCCTGGCTGGTGCCCTAAACACCTCTCTCCAAAGTCCAGGCAGAAAGGTTGAATGTTTTGCTTGTGAGCAGGTAGGGTATCTTTAGGTATCCCAGCTGCTCCTGCCAAAAACCTTCAGGGGCACCACTTGGCACCTTACTTGCCTTTGCCCACAGTCCCAGATTCATTTCTCCATTTCTTTTTTTCTGCCGTTCCCCAGTGGCTGTGTGCTGCTGTCCCGGCAGCTGCCAACCCTCACCCCAGAAATCCAACAAAGTTGAACACGAAGTGTTCAGAGAGGACAGTTTTTATTCTTCAGAAGCAAAACTGAGTTCAGTGTGGTGTCCTTGCTGTAGGCTTCTTGCTTAATCAGAATTCTTAGGCCGATGACTTTTTTACCTCCTGGTTTATCTGTAGCCGGGAGACAAGCCACCATCTATTCAAATGAAGGAAAATAGTTAACACCCATGCCTTTTAAAAGAAGAAAACAAACAAATAATAAACCAGCAAATAAAACCCACCTCTTTTCACAAATAAAGACTATCATGGAAAATAAGCAGATAACCAGTAGACAAAGAACATCTTTTAAATCTTTACCTTTTCTTTTCCAGTTCTAGCTGGAATATCTCATGTATTTTCTTTTTGATGATACTAACCACTGGCATTTCTCCTAAAGAAATGGATAAAAAAAAAAAAAAGTTCCATGTGTTTAAAGCAGAAAGGGTTACCAGTTACCATCCAGTTGGTTTGCGTCTGGGAGATCCCGTGTGTGTCAGAGTAGAACTGGGCTCTAGAGGGATTTCAATGGCTGATTTTTGGGAAAATAGATCACCAGGTATCGAAGCGGACTGGAGCCAACAACCTTTCATTAGCAGCCGAGCATCTGAACAGTTTGCACATCTGATTTCAGGGATATCTCTGCCTTTGATTCCCTGAGCTACTAGAGACCAAATATGGAAAAGATATGGAGCCCAGCAAGCCATGAGAGGCCTACATGGTGCTCAGGACAACATTTAATAGAGATCTGTCATCTGCTGGGGAAGCTTTAACAGATTAGAGAACACCCCATGGATTCCTATACAGCCATTAAAAAAGTTAGACTTTCAGTCACAGTAAAGAGTTCTGGTATTGGATTACAGGACAATGCGCTAGACGGCATGGTCAGTTTGAACCACCAAGTCGGTGGTTCAAACTCACCAGCAGTTCCTTGGAAACCCTATACAGGGTTGCTATGGGTCGGAACCGACTCGACAGCACTTGCAAACAACAAGTAGCCCAGTTGTGGCACTACAGGATCAGTACTAGACTTCAAATCACAAGGTCAGCTGTTCAAATCCACTGGCTGCTCCTTGGAAACTCTATACAAGGTCACTATGAGTTGGAACTGACTCGACGGCACCTAACAATAACAACAAGAAGCCCTGGTAGCATAGTGGGTTATGAGCTAGACTGTTAATCACAAGATCAGTAGTTCAAATCTACCAGTCCCTCCAAAGGAGAGAAATGAGACTTTCTGCTCCCATAACAATTTGCAGCTTCGGAAATCATATCTGAGTGGGAACCGACTTGGTGGCACAGAACCACCACCAATCATTTGATGTGGGAGGAGCATGGTGGCTCCATACTGGGCTGTGAACCACAGGATCAGTGGTTTGAGCCCACCAACCGCTCCACAGAAGAAAGATGTGGCTTTCTGCTTCTGTAAAGACTTACAGACTCAGAAACCCTATATAGGGTTGCTGTTAGTTGGAAACAGTTTGATAGCACCTAATAATAATAGTTTGACTTGGGGAATTCTTGTGTGGTGCTATAGGATAGGCACTGGATTACTAACCCTTATACAAGGTCATTATGAATTAGGACCAATTTGATGGCATTTTAACAACAGTTTGACTTAGAGGAATTTCTTTGGGCATGGCTGAATTATAAATTGAGATCAAAGAAGTCTGTGGAATAGGACTCTAAATGTGATGCTTGTATAAGTTATAAATAGGGCCACTAGATAAAACACAGGACACCTATTTAAATGTGAATTTCAGACAAGTGGGAAAATTGCATGGGACATAGTGTTGTTAAAAAAAAAATTCTTTGTTTATCTGAAATGAAAATTTAGCTGGGTTTCATGTATGTTTAGTTGCTAAATCTGGCAACCCTATTATATAAGAATGGAGAAGAGTTTGGAAGAATATATACCAAACTGTGGGAGGCAAAGACAAAGTTGCACTAATAACATCCTTAGCAAGTATGAAATTATCCTGTTTTTAAAATAAAATTTTATGCCTATGTGCACATAAAGCTCTGTAAATAAATTGGAAAAATATTTAGATCTACCTTTTTGTAAAGCGTATATATCATGTATAAGTGAAAAGGGCAAACAGTAGCGTAATGAGTACAGTGAGATTGTATTTTGGGACAAAACTCACACTTTTGCATATGCATGTTTAGATTTGTGTTAGCAAAGATAAAGAGGTAGAAGACCCCTCCCCAGGCTATTGAAATTGGTATCTCAGGTATGGGATTGGGGCGATGTAGGAGATGACTTTGATTGTTAGCTGCACTTGAATTGGGAGGATTCTGTACACAACAGAATCTGACTGTGATCCATAGCATTTTCATTGCTGATTTTCACAAGTAGATCATCAGGTTTTCTTCCCAGTTCATCTTAGTTTGCAAGCTCTGATGAAATCACAGCAGTTCACAAGCATCCGCTGACAGATGGTGGCTGCTCTTGAAATGCCCAGGCTAGGCATTGAATATGTATCTCCCCCATGGAAAGAAAGGATTCTATCCCTGAGCCAAGGTGATTAATCACAGTAGGTGATTAGCATTGCTTTTCTACTTCTTTGGATGGTATTATGTCACTGGGTACAACAAAATCCAGTGCCTTTGTATTTTGAAAAACACTAGATAAGGAAAATGTGTTTTGCTTTTGTAAGGGAGTCATCCAGCCTACAGTTTAAGAGTATGAGCTTTGGAACTACATGCAGGATGGATTCTGCCACTTTCTAACTGTGTGAACCTGGGGGAGTTACTCCACCCTTCTGCCCAGTTTCCTTATCTGTAAGATAGAGATAAAATACCTATTCTTTATAATGAAGATTAACCATTTGTCAAGAACTGGCACATAATGGCTAACTACAGGAGCTCTGGTAGCATGGCAGTTATGAATTGGGCTGCTAACCTCAAGGTCGGCAGGTCAAAACTACCAGCAGTTCTGCAGGAGAGAGATGAGACTTTCTGCTCGTGTAAAGATTTATAGCCTCGGAAACCCTGTGCAGGGTCGCTATGAGTCGGAATCGACTCCACGGTTCTTACTAACAGCAACCTTTCCTGTTATGGCGTATAGGATAAGCACTTTCAAGGTCGGTGGTTCAAACCACCAGCCACTCCTTAGAAACCCTATGCAGTGTCGCTATGGGTCAGAATCAACTCGATGGCACTTAACAACAACAACTCTACTGCTGTGGTGTCCTGGGATCCTGGTGTGGTGCTGTAGATAAGCACTGGACTGCAAGGTTCATTTAAACTGCAAGATCAGGGATTCAAACCCACCAACCACTCCTTGGAAACCCTACACAAACAAGGTCACTGAGTCGGAACCAACTTGACGACACTTAAAAACAACGTGGCTGAGGCGATATAGGATAATTACTCGACTTCTAATAGCAAGATTGGTGGTTCAAATCCACCAGCTTCTCTTCAGAAACCCTGAGAGTAGGAACCGACTTGACAGCAACAACACCTCTATTGCTAATTCTTATTACTACTGGAGAAGAATTTAGGATGTGGCTCAGGAAGCACAGCTACATGATCTGCTGGAGGCAAGCTAGTTCTGCTCTCTGGACCTCAGATGCCTTATCTATAACATGAGAGAGACTGCATGCTCTCTGCTTTGCTCTTTTGAAGATTTGGAGCAGTGACTGGGTATCAGTTGCCGGGCTGGGCTGCCATCAGTATCTCAAGTATCAGGAGGGCTTCCTATGGTAAACAAGTTTCAGTGGGGCTTCCAGACTAAGACTAGGAAGAAAGTCCTGGTGATCCATTTCTGAAAATTGGCCAATGAAAATCTTATGGATCACAACAAAATCTTGTCTGTTAGAGAGCTAGAAGATGAACCGTTGGCAGACTTAAAATACGAAGTGGTCACAACAATGGATCGATGATTGTGAAGATGGTGAAGGATAGGGTAATGCTTCATTCTGTAGTTTATTACTCAGAGCTGACTTGAGGGCCACTGACGACAACAACAGCAAGTGCTAGGAAAGAGTAGGGAGAATAGAGAGAACAGAGCGCCTTTCCCGCTGCAGAACATTAAGCATTCTGCAGGTCTTGGATTTCTGTAGGACACCGTCCAGATGGTTCATAACTAGGTTAGGTGAGAATAAAGGTTGGGTACCTGGTGTCGACTCAAGGTGGGCAGAGGTAGTAGAATATCACACCAAGAACACTTCTTCAGGACATTGTAGGCTGCTTCATCTCTTGTAGGAGAAGTGGCCCTGGTCTTGAACTCTGACTTCAAAGGTAGATCCATGGGCTTCTTTTTGCCTCTTGGTGTTTGTCTCGCTGAATTTTCAAAAAGGAAAGGAGATCTGTATAGCTTTTTAATCTTTGGACGGACATCATTCTCTACAGTGGAAGTTTGATAGGTAGCAGACTGGCTTGGACGGGAAGATGGAACATTTCTTGGCTTTTCAAATGGAGACAAATTTGCAAGCTGTGAGACTGGACAACCTTTACCCTGCAATTGTGAGTAATAGATCACATTTTAAAAATTCGAGTTTAGCCTTAATGGTTTGACAGTACATTATACAGGATAATCTAAAAATGCTCCGCTACAAATACTTGGAAACACTAGAAGAAATATGATAAACATTCATTTAAGTGCATAGCTGAATTACTAGCAAGGAAAAGAAAATGCTCACGTTCCATGACAGAAGGCCTGACCCTTAGGTGCATAAAATAATGGAATCTTCTCATGAAATGTTTGAAGCCCTGTCATAAAAGAATGAATGGAAAGCAAGAAAAAGAATAAGGGCTTATGAAAAAAGAGTAGATGAATTAGAAAGAGAGATAAATAGGATTTATATAATTGAAAAATGTAAGCATTTAATTAAAATCTGAATGTTGATATTGTTGAGTGCCGTCAAGTTGATTCCGACCCTTAGCGACCCTGTATATAGAGAGAGACTGGTGAGCTTGAACCACTGATCTTGCAAGTCAAACTGCTTAAAATCAGAATGGATGGGCTAGAAAAGCAGATTAAATTCAGCTAAGAAAGAATGAATGAATTTGAAGATAGATTTGAAGAAATTGTCAAGAATATAGGAAAGAGCAATAAAGATCTATAAAATGTATGAGGTTAAGAGACATGAAGCTAGAATGAGAAGGACTAATACAAGGGGATTTCAAAAAGTTTGTAGAAAAATTTCATGATTTTTCATTCCATTTTCCATAAACTGTTTGAAGCCCCCCTGTGCATCCAATATATTCCAGAGAGAGAACTAGAAGAAGGTGGGAAAAGCAGGATTCAAAGAGAAAAAGATGAGATGCTTTAAAAACTGATTAAAGATTCAGAAAGGAGAAATATAGAGCAAGAGAAATAAATTAAAAAGACACATTGGATAAAATTGACAAACCATTGGCAAATCTAACAAAAGAAGAAGATGCAAATAACATGCATAAGAAATGATATGAGTAACATCACAACAGAACCAATGGAAATAAAAAGTATAATAATAGAATAATAGCAAAAGTATAATAATAGAATACTATGAAGAATTATGCTCCAATAAATTTGGAATTTGAAAATCTAGAAGAAATGGATACATTTTTAGAAAGCCACAACCTACCTAAACTAACACAGTGTGAAGTAGAAAACTTGAACAGACTCATAACAAAAGAAGAAAGCGATCAGGTAATTTAAAAACTCCCAACAAAAAAAGAGTCCAGACCCAGACAGCTTTACTGATGAATTCTACCAAAAGTTCAGAGAAAAGAGTTGACACACATCCAAAAAGAAGAAAGAACCAAAATCAACACATCAATACAACATTTCCAACAATTAGAAAAAGATCAGCAAAGTAATTCCACAGTCACCAGAAGAAAAGAAATGATAAAGATTGTTGTTGTTGTTGTTAGGTGCCATGAGTCTGTACCCACCCATAGCGACCTTATGCACAGCAGAACAAAACACTGCCTGATCCTGGGCCAACCGCACTACTGTTGCCACACTTGAGTCCATCGATGCTGCCACTTGGCCAATCCATCTCACTGGGGGTCTTCCTCTTTTTCTCTGACCCTCCACATTACCAAACATGATATCCTTCTCCAGTGACTGGTCCCTCCTGACAATATGTCTGAAGTATGAGAGACGGAGTTTAGCCATCCTGGCCTCAAGGGAGCACTCTGGTTGCACTTCTTCCAAAATGGAAATATTGGTTCTTTTGGCATAAAGATGAGAGCAGAAATAGATTAAATAGAAAACAGAAAAACAATAAAGATTCACAACACAAGAAGCTGGTTCTTTGAAAGGATACATAAAATTAACAAACCATTGGAAAATCTAAAGAAGAGGGAGAAGACATAAATAACACCAGTAGGAAACCACATGGGCGATGTTACAACAGAACCAATGGGAATAAAAGGGATGAAAGCAGAATACTATGAAGAGTTGTACTCAAACAAATTAGAAAGTCTAGAGGAAATGGATACACTTTAAAACAACAACAACAAAACAACAACAAAACTTAAACTTACATGGATTGAAGTAGAAAACTTGAACAGACCTATTACAAAATAAGAAATTGATCAGGTCATTAAAAAACTCCCAACAAAAGAATCTAGGCTCAGATGGCTTTACTGGTGAATTTTACCAAACATTCAGAGAAGAGCTGACACCAATTTTACTCAAACTATTCAAGAATATAGAAAAGGATGGAAAACTTCATAATATATTTTATTGAAGGTATCATAATCCTCATACCTAAAACAGGAAAGGACATCACTAAAAAGAAAATTGTAGACCAATATCCCTCATGAACATAGATGCAAAAATTCTCAACAAACCCTAGCCAATAGAATTCAACAACATATGAAAAATAGATCATGACCAAGGAAGATGCATACCAGGTATGCAAGGATGGTTCAATATTAGAAAAACAACGTAATCCACCATATAAATTTTAAAAAGGACAAGAACCACATGATCCTACCGACTGATGCAGGCAAAGAATATGACAAAATCCAACACCGATGAAAAATTCCCAAAGACTCAGTAAGAAAATTATTGAAACTCATCAGCAAAGTGGCAGGGTCCAAGATCAACATACACAAATCAGTTGGATTCCTCTATATTAATAAAGACAGTTTTGAAAAGGAAATTAGGAAAACAATACCATTTATAACAAATACTTAAGAAAAATCTAACCAGAGAAACAAATGACCTATGCAATGAAAACCACAAAACACTACTACAAGAAACCAAAAGAGACTTACAAAAATGGAAGACTATACCATGTTCGTTGGAATCCTGGTGTGGCACTGCGGGTTAATGCGCTGGACTGCAAGGTAGGTTTGAACCACAAGATGGGTAGTTCAAGCTCACCAGCTGCTCCTCATAAACCTTATACAGGGTCACAATGAGTTGGAACCAATTTGAACAACACACTTAACGACAATAAAGACCATGCTTGTAGACAGGGAGACTTAACATTGTGAAAATATCAATACTACTCAAAGCAATCTACAGATATTATGCAATCCTGATCCAGATTCCAACATCATTCTTTAAAGAGATGGAAAAAAAATGATTACATTATATGGAGAGGAAAGAGACCTCCGATAAGCAAAGCACTGCATAAGAAGAAGAACAAAGCTGGAGGTCTCATTCCCTCATCTCAAAATTTACTGCACAGCCCAGTGGTCAAAACAGCCTGGTACTGGTACAAAGAAAGATGCATAGATCAGTGGAAGAGAAGTGAGAACCCAGAAATAAATCCCTCCACACACAGTCAGCTGATCTTTGACAAAGGGCCAAAGAACATTAAATAGGGAAGAGATAGTCTCTTCAACAAATGGTGCTGGCAAAACTGGAAATCCATTTTCAGAAGAATAGAACATGACCCATATATCATATACAAAACCAAACACAATGTGTATTGGAGACCTAAATGTTAAATCTAGAACTACAAAAGTCATTATTGAAAAAATAGGGACAAACTCAGGGACTCTAATACATGTCATAATATACTATCAAACTTTACCAAAAACACACAACAGATGACTGGGACCTCCTAAAAATTAAACACTATGTGCATCAAAAGATTTTGCCAAAGAGTGAAAAAAACGAAGCCAACAGACTAGGGAAAAATTGTTTGCAATGACAAACCAGAAAAGGACTAATCTCTAAAATTTATAGAAAACTACAACACCTCTACTAGAAAAACAAACACCCCAGTTAAAAAAATAGGTACAGGATATATGAGCAGACACTTCACCAAAGTAGACATTCAGGCAGTCAACAAACATGAAGAAATGTTCACAATCAGTTATTAGAGAGATGCAAATCAAAACAACGACGACACCAGCATTAATAGCAAAGTCCTAAAAAACAAAACAACAAATGTTGGTGAGGGTGTGGGAAGACTGGGACCCTCCGACATTGCTGGTGGAACTGTAAAATGGTTCAACCACTGTGGAAAACAGTATGGCGCTTACTCAGAAAGTTGGAAATAGAATTACCTTATGACCCAGCAATCCCTCTATTTGATATACATCCATCAGTAATATGAGCCAGGGCATGAGTAGATCTTTGCACACCGTTGTTCATCGCAGCACTATCCATAATATCAAACAGACAAAGACAGCCTAATTGCTACTCACTATATGGTGGACAAACTCCTTGATAGGGATTGCTTGGTCGCAAGCATTACACTTGATTTTCTTCACAACAGTTGGCATTCTCTTCCCTGGTAAAGCACAGAAAGAACACCATAAGTGATGCCCTTGACAATGGTGAGAATACCTCTTTTACACTACAACTGTTTCTGTGGTCTACACTCATGAGTGGGAGCTGCCTCCAGGACTGCGGGGCTGAGTGTTTCCTGTGCTCCCAGCATCCTCAACCACACAGGCAAACCTTTCCTGCATCACCCAGATCATTTTCTTTACGACTAACAGATGTGCATTCAGGGCAGCACTCGACCCGAGGAGGCGACATTTTCCTGAATGGGCTTCTAAGGAGGTGAAGGGGCCCTTAAAACACAGAGGCCATCCCATCTAATCTGTCTTTTATTCCACATATTTCTAAGCCCTGTGATCAAACCAGGTGTTGAGTGTACATAGCTTTGTTGACTATACTCCTTTGGAGCCCAGTCATGCTGGGGTGAAGGAAACGTACACGAAACTCAAGTTTTTCATTGGTCAGTTTTGACCTTGGTTAGATTGCTTACCAGGAAACATTTATTATTCAAAGAGTTTTAGACTCTTTCTGCATGTTAACCAAAACAATTCATGAAGTCAACAGAAAATCATCTATTGAGGACTTTTGACTTTGGTAAACACACCCTCAGAAAGGGATAACTGGTTCAAGAGAACAACAAATGGTTCCTGGGGGTCAACACAGAAACCCAAAGAAACCCAAAGACTGCAGCTGGCTTCTGATCATAGCTGATGGTAGAAAAAGCTCCAGATGTGGGGTTGGGAAATGGATGTCCAGTCTTGATTCTGTCTCCAGCAGTTCCCTGTATCATTCTATGTGTAAGTTTCTCATCTGAAAGGGGACATGAGTGGGCAGAAAACTTTCTGCCAGGTTGGAAGTGTGCTGAAGGGCTTCAAAGGAAACCTCAGTTTCAAGGGCTCACCATTGTCTCTGTTCTCATCTGCGCGGCTCCACCTCCTGGTCTCTTGGTTTCCATGGACTGGTCCTTTAAAGATGAAAACAAATATACAAGAAGGTCCCTCTAGTATATGATCTAGAACTGAAACAGCCAACATATTTGCTGCATGAATGTGAGAGATACACAACCAATACTATGCTATCTGGCCTGCGGACGCCATGTGTTCCTTGCATCCCAGCCAGGGGAGGCTTTGGTCCCTGAAGCTTCCCCTTGCATCTGCTCACCCATGCTCCTCACCTTTCCTGGGATGGGTCTGTTTCCCCTGACAGTTGTCTTTGTGGTGGGCCAGCTTGCGAAGCAGGATGAGCTGGTTGCAGTGTGGACAGCGCTCTGTCCGGCTACCACATTGGTACTCGTGATTCACCAGCTTACTGAGCCCCATGGTCAGCTCACAGAACTTACAGTTGACCTGGCGCATCTGACAGTCCTTGGTCTGAGGGAAGACAGGAAGGCAGGGCATGGTCACTGGTCCCTTAGATTGGAGGAAGATCAGAGACATAAGCCTGACTCCCTAGGGAATTGAAGCCAATGAGAAAAATAGGTGGGAAGGTCTAGAGTGGGGGACTGTCGTCAGGAAATGCAAACTCTGTCAGATTCATTGTTGTTGTTGTTAGGTGCCATCAAGTCAATACTGACTCATAGCAACCCATGCATAACAGAATGAAACTCTGCCCAGTCCTGGGCCAACCTCACAATTGTTGCCACGCTTGAGCCCATTGATACTGCCATTTTGCCAATCCAAAATGGATTGGGGGTCTTCCTCTTTTTCTCTGACCCTCCAACTTACCATGGCTTGGCTCAGGCACACTTTAGTCCTCAAGCTGACATCTCTGCTCTTCAATA